CCCAAGTCGAGAGAGAGGAACTACAAAACAAACAAGTGCATCATGGGTAACGTAGTGTTAATGGGAACGGACTTTTAACAGGAATCTATCAGTTTGATATCATTTAAACAAGTTTAGAGCTCTTCCTGTAATTCCAATATCATTTATCATATTCAAGCCTCTGTAGTAAAATATTATGATCATCTGTATCAGATGCAGCACTGAGGTCTAGCAGGACCAGTATAGACACAAATCCATTGTTTGAGGCCATGAGAATATCATTAGTGACTTTTACTAGTGCTGTTTCTGTGCTATGATGAGCTCTAAACCCTGACTGAAACTCTTGAAACAGATTATTTCTTTGTAGATGTTCACGCAACTGACCTGCAACTATTTTCTCTAGAATTTTTTAGATGAAAGTTAGATTAGATATAGGTCTATAGTTGGCCAGAATTTATGAATCAGGGTCAGACTTCTTAAGTAAAGGTTTAATTACAACAACCTTAAAGCGCTTTGGTACGAAAGTATTCATTAAAGACAAATTAAGTAGATCCAAAATGTGGACATTAATTAGGGGAAATACCTCTTTAAACAGTCTGGTTGGGATGGGATCTAGCAGACATGTGGATGGTTTGGATCAGGTTATTATTTTTGACAATTCAGAGAGCTCAACAGGACAAAAACTGTCCACACATAAATCAGGCTCTAGTGAAATTTTAAAGTTGTCTCATTTGACAGTGGACTAGAGATCGTAGAAGGAAGGATGGTTTGAATTTTCTCTCCAATTGAAATAATTTTATTTATAAAGAATCTATGCTTATGACTGTTCTCTTCTGTATAGTTACTCAGCCTGATGAATTTATAAAGGAGCTACATGATATCATCAGCTCGCTGCAGAGCAAACACCCCGAGGCTCTTTACGTTGTAGCCGGAGACTTTAATCACGTGAATCTAAAGGACTGTCTCCCAAGCTTTTATCAACATGAGGCAATTCCAACACGTGGAGACAAGACGCTGGACCGTGTTTACACAAATGTAAAAGATGCATACAAAGCCAAACCCCACCCCCACCTAGGACTGTCAGACCACATCTCAATCTTCCTGGCTCCTGCTTACATGCCCTCGCTGAGATGCTCCAGACCGGTACAAAAGAAAGTTAAATGTTGGATCCAGGACAGTGGCCCCTTACTGAGAGATTGTTTTGACCGAACAGGCTGGCATATTTTCAGAGAAGCTGCTGAAAATGGAGGATCGCTTGATCTTGACCAATACACATCCTCAGTTCTGGGTTACGTTAGTACATGTACTGAAACCGTCTCTACTATCAGACATGTTAAAAGCTACCCAAACAGAAAACCTTGGCTGAATGCAGAGGTGCGCACCCTGCTGGAAGCCAGGAACACTGCCTTCAGGTCTGGAAACTCAGAGGAGCTGAGTAGGACAAGAAAAGAGCTGGTTGCTGGCATTAAGAAGGCCAAGGCCACATATGCACAGAGGATTGAGGGTCAATTCATCTCACAAGACCCTCGGAGCATGTGGAGGGGCATCAAGTGCATAACAGATTATAAAAGAAGAAGTGAACAATGCACCAAAGACCCATCTCTGCCTGATGCCCTCAACAAGTTCTATGCACGCTTTGAAGACCCGAACAGAACACCCAGCACCAGACTCACCTCGCCACCGGATGAAGAGTATCTCAGCGTGACCTCAACCGAAGTAAGGAGTACTTTCAGGAGGATTAATCCACACAAAGCAACTGACCCAGACAACATCCCCGGAAAAGTGTTGAAGGAATGTGCCGATAAGCTCTGCGAGGTGCTGGCAGACATCTTTAACACCTCACTTACCCTGGAGACAGTTCCCACCTGCCTGAAGACTGCCACCATCATCCCAGTCCCAAAAAGCTCTACAGTGACTGGTCTGAATGACTATCGGCCAGTGGCTCTCACCCCGATAGTCGCTAAATGCTTTGAAAAACTGGTCATGACTCGCATCAAAACAACCATCAACATCAACGAGGACCCTCATCAGTATGCATACCATGAGAACCGATCAACAGAGGCTGCCATCTCCTCTGTGGTTCACACTGCGCTCAACCACCTGGAGCAGAAAAACTCTTACGTCCGTATGCTCTTTGTGGACTTCACATCCGCCTTCAAGACTATGATCCCCCAAACCCTGATGGACAAACTATCCACACTAGGACTAAGCCCCTCCATTTGCAACAGGGAACTAAGCTTTTTGACAAACAGACCACAGTTAGTGAGGATCCACAACTTCTCCTCCTCCACCATAACCCTCAGCACTGGCTCTCCTCAGGGATGTGTGTTTAAAACCCCTCCTGTTTACTCTGCTCACGTATGATTGTGCAGCTACCCATCCAGGCTGTCATATTGTAAACTTGCAGATGATACAGCGGTGGTGGGATGCATCACAAACAATGATGAGTCCAGCTACAGGCAAGAGATGGAACACCTGGAGAGCTGGTGCAAAGAGAATAACCTTCACATCAATGTGAAGAAGACAAAGGAGATGATTGTGGACTTCAGAAGGAACAAAAACATCTACAACACACTGAACATGAGAGGATCTGCGGTGGAAGTGGTCTCTAGCTACAAGTACTTGGGTGTACACATGAATGACAACCTCAGCTGGTTCTGATGCTTCAACCAATCAGGAACCAGTTATGATGCTTCATCCAATCAGAAACCGGTTCTGATGCTTAAGACACTCATGAACCAGTTATGATGCTTCAGCCAATCAGAAACTGGTTCTGATGCTTCATCCAATCAGAAACCAGTTCTGATGCTTCATCCAATCAGAAACCGGTTCTGATGCTTCAGCCACTCATGAACCAGTTATGATGCTTCATCCAATCAGAAACCAGTTCTGATGCTTCATTCAATCAGAAACTGGTTCTGATGCTTCAACCAATCAGGAACCAGTTCTGATACTTCAGCCAATCAGAAACTGGTTCTGATGCTTCATCCAATCAGAAACCAGTTCTGATGCTTCATCCAATCAGAAACCGGTTCTGATGCTTCATCCAATCAGGAATTAGTTTTGATGTTTCATCCAATCAGAAACCAGTCCTGATGCTTCATCCAATCAGATACCAGTTCTCATGCTTCATCCAATCAGAAACTGGTTCTGATGCTTCATCCAATCAGAAACCGGTTATGATGCTTCGTCCAATCAGGAATCAGTTATGATGCTTCATCCAATCAGGAACCAGTTCTGATGCTTCAGCCAATCAAAAACTAGTTCTGATGCTTCATCCAATCAGGAACCAGTAATGATGCTTCATCCAATCAGAAACCAGTTTTGTTGTGTGTTTTGGGTCATTATCCTGCTGCAACACCCAGTTATGTCCAAATTTCAACCATCTACTTTTTTGTTAGAAACAACATTAAAGGAACATCATGATGCTACCACCACCATGCTTGACAGTTGTTTATGTCATTTGTAGACTTGAAAGCCTCATTCAAAAAAAGACTTCTTATCACTGTGGCCAAAAGGATGAATCTTTGTCTCATCAAACAATTAGTCCAGAAAGATTTTGGTTTGTTTAACTTGAATTATTTGACTAATTGGATTAGATTCTGGATCTGATAAGGATTAATCTGGATTTGTGATTTGGACTTTTTAAATGTTTTGATAAAACTTCTATTGTGAATTGACCTGTAAAAATAAACTGAAATGAAATCAGCTGAGGCAAAAATCTGAGGTATGTATCAGAGATTTGCCATAAATTAAAAACAGATTAACGGTATAAAGTGTTTTCTTTTTCAAGGTCATGTTTCTTCATAATAAAGAATAAAATATTTGCCATTCATATTTATTCTTAACAGGATTTAATCCAGTGAGTGGATTAAAATCAGGTCTTTATTAATTAAAGGAACGTCATGATACTACCACCGCCATGCTTTACAGTTGTTTATGTCATTTTTAGGCCAAAAGAATGAATCTTTGTCTCATCAAACAATTTGTCCAGAAAGATGTGGAACAACCTGCCCCCACCGCTTTGGTTAAAGGGGATTAATCAC